AACTCAACTCTCTCAAAAGCTCCCTTGATGTAAGAATTTATGGTGAAAATGACAAAGTAGAGGGCATTACATGATGAAGACCATCCTGTATTTGGTGTGAAGTTGGGTCCAGCTCTCCCAGTCACTAGAATATTGTGAGTGGGATGATTCCTCACTTTATACAGAGGATCCAGCATCATTGGCCCTGACCTAGCAGGGGCCCCCAGAATTGGCACAACCCAACACACCCCTCATCTGGCCTTGCCCTCCCAGTGAAGCCTTACCTCCATCCACACCCATGATGAAGCGACCTACGATGAGCATTTCAAAGGCCCCTGCCCAGAGAGAACAGGCCATCAGTAATGCCGCAGTAATTGCAAATCCGTTGTTGATCAGCAAAGTGTACTTCCTGAAATAAAAAGGAGACGTGTGATGAGAATGACCACCAGATGGTGAGTCACTGGCCTGTCCATCTCAGGGGCTAGGCAGGGGCAGACCCTTCAGAAGAGAGATCCAGGCCCAGTGGAAAGACCATTGGCCATGGAGTTAGCAGTATGGGTGCCAGCTGACCTTGAGAGAGGCAAGGTGTAGGCTCACCAGTGGGGTTGACTGGGCCATCTCAAAAGACTCTGTCAGCTCATTGGCATGAATTCTCTACTGCAGTATTTTATTTCATCAGCTCTAAGACTCAACGTTTCTGAAACAAAGATCCAACTTTCAAATTCATGAATTTTAACCAAAGAACTTAATGTGATCATTTAACACAAAGACTATAATAGAGGGAATTGGTTCAGCAGGTATGTTGGAGGTGGTGGTATGTGCTACTACTAAGTCAGTTCTGACTCATAGTGACCCATCTAGTGCTCCCAAGAACATCTGGTGTGTTTGCGCTGCCAACCTTGCAGTTAGCAATCCAGTGCTTATCCTACAGCACCATACCAGGGCTGAGGGAAGCAGGTTTAGGAAGCCTGTAATGTCAAAAGAGGGGACTCAGAGGATGGGTGCAGCTTAAATTATGGTAATGCTCCAGGGCTTAGAGTGGAGACCTTGAAAAGCTGATTCAAACATTTGGGGTCAGGGTATGGCCCAAATGGTCCTGTGTCCTCTAAGAAGAAAAGCATGAGTCTAGTTCTAGGGTGTGGATAAAATCTGGAAATGGAACCAATTGCCATCATTGATGGGAAGGACAAATGAGGAAACACTGGAGAACAAGGAGTAAATCCTTCCCTCCTCCTTCCTTCCAGGTCCCTGTTGGTGGGTTCCAACAGACAGGAAGAGGAGCGGTGATGGTTCAATGATAGAATTCCCACCTTCCAAGGGCACAACTTGAGTTTGATTCCCAGCCTACACACCGCATGCACAGCCACCATGTAGTCGTCACAGTATGGATGGATGTTGCTATGATGCCAGACGTGTTTCAGTGGATCTTCCAGACTAAGATGGCCTGGGAAGCAAGATCTGTCTATTTACTTCTAAAACTTAGTCACAACAGTCCAATCCACACCAATCCTGGGGATGGCGCAGGACTAGGCAGCGTCTTGTTCCATTGTGCATGGGGTCGCCAGGAGTCGGAGGCTGACTTGACAGCAGCTAACATCCATCAAAGGATGGATCCAAACAAAGGAAATAAGCCAAAAATTAAATCCTAAATTCCGGCAGAGCCCGGTTAACAACAACACGCAACACCGGGCCAAGAGGGCTCACGAGATAGTGTTGGAACTCTGAAACAAATATAAAGCTATGTTTGGAGGATTTGAGGGTTTACAGCTGGGGAATTTGAAGGGAATCCAGAAATCCATTGTATTCTGGATCAAGACACTCAGCTGTTCCAGGAGCCGCCATCTTGGGAGAGAACATCTTGATTGTATTAGGATTGATA